CGGCAGAGTGCCTTGGTGTCACATAGCTCACAGCAACCTCAACTCCTGGGCTTAGGCGATTCTCTTGCCTCAGCCTCCCAAGTAGCTGGGACTACAGATGCCCTCCACAATGTCTGGCTATCTTTTTGTTGCAGTTTGGCCAGGGCTGGGTTTGAACCCGCCACCCTCGGTATATGGGGCTGACACCCTACCCACCGAGCCACAGGCACCTCCTCAAGTCTCCATCTTTTTTTAAGGCTCAATATTCCATGGTATACATATACCACAGTTCATTAATCCATTCATGGGTTAATGGGCACTTAGGTTGTTTTCCACATTTTGGTGATTGTAAATTGAGCTGCAATAAACAATCTACTGCAAATGCCCTTATCACAAATGATAAAGTGATTTTCATTTCCTCTGGGTAGATGCCTGGTAATGGGATTGTGGGAGCTAATGGAAGGTCTTTTTTACCTCAAAGAATCTTTGAGGATTCTTTAGACTTCTTCCCAAGGAGGGTGTATTAGTTTGCAATCCCACCAACAGTGTAAAAGTAGAATTTTTTTAAAGTTTCATAAACAATACTATAGTAAATATCCTTATACATTTGTCTTTGGCTACTTCTCCAAAATGTTCTTGGAGGAAAGCCCTGGGAGTAGAATTGCTTATTGAAACAGTATTCATGTTTTAAATTTTTGGTTTTTGGAGACAGAGTCTCACTTTGTCACCATCAGTAGAGTGCTGTGGTGTCATAGCTCATAGCAACCTCAAACTCTTGGGCTTATGTGATCTTCTTGCCTCAACCTCTGGCCTATAGCCAGACTACAGGCCCAGGCCACAGTGTCTGGCTATTTTCTAAAGACGGGGTCTCACTCTTGCTTAGGCTGGTCTTGAACTCATGAGCTCAAGCAATCCACCAGCCTCAGCCTCCCAGAGTGCTGGGATTACAGGCGTGAGCCACCACACCTGGCCTCACATTTTAAATTTGATGCATATCCAGACTGCCTTTCAGAAAGGCTGGATCACTTTCTCATCTTACCTGTAGTGTATGTAAATAGTTTCTCTCACATCACTATCATATGCACCATTTTCTCCTGCCAGTCTCTTATAATAATTTTCATGTCTCCAATTATCAGTGAAGTTAAGCATCTTTTCATATTTGTAGATCATTTATGTTTACTGGGGAAAAAGTGACTTTTCATGTTCTATTTATTCATCTTTTCTTATTCTTAGTATTTTAAAGATATCACCTTTGCTTTTTTTTTTTTTACAGTTTGACTTTTCACTTTGCTGTCTTCTTTTGTCAAAAGATGATTCTGCTTTTTAAGTAGTCAATTCCATTGCTATTTTTCTTTGTAGATTTTGCCTTTTTACACCTAAAAAGGCCCTTTTCAATACTAAATATATAAATGTTCTCTTGGTATGGTTTTATATTTACATTTAACTTTCATCCACCTGAAATTTTCCCCTAAATTTAGCCAATAATACCATTTCTATTTATCAAGTAATCTGTCTTTTCTTTACCAAAAATAAGCTTTTTATTATATACTAAATGTTTGTGTGTACAATGATCTGCATGTGATTTTGGCAGAACCTCAGATTACTTGTGGTTTACATTTTCCATAAATTTTAATATTGAGGACTGAAAGTATGTTCCTGATTTTCTTTCTAATATTTGTATATCTGTTAGGATCATTTTGTCAAATTCCCAGAACTCTTAGGATTGGAATTGGTTAGAATTGGAGTTAAATTTATAAACTGGGGAGAATCTACAAACTGAATCTTTCCATCAGGTAGGTGATGTTTCTGTTTATTCAAGACTTTTCTAAGGTCTGTAAAACTCAGTAGTGTTTTTAAATTTTATTGTAAATTGCTAAGTTATAATTGCACACTTATCAGGTACAATGTGATTATGCAATGTGGAATGATTAAATTGAGCTAATACATACTCATCTCAAATACTTAATTTTTGTGGTGAGAACATTTAAAATTTTTGCTCTCTTAGCAATTTTGAAATATAGAGTTTAGTGTTTGTTCTGTTCCACTGTCTTACATTGTATTAGGACTTTGCCTATCTTTTATGTTACATTCTCATGAAACCTTTTTATTACTTCATAACTTTTTGACTTTTGAATTCTCTTTACTTTCTATTTCTCTTATGGCAATCTGTTTATTCACTCTTTTTTTTCTCCTAGTTTGGTCTTTTGACATTTTTGTCTTTTATTTCTAATTCTTTTCTGAGTTTTATTATCTCATCTGAGGTTTTCTAATTCTGATTTATGTTGTCCATTATTACTAACTGTAGCTTCTATACTATGCAGTAGATCTCAAAAAACTTATTCCCCTTATCTGAGATTTTTATTCCATTTACCCAACCTCCTCCCAGTTGCCCAACTCCCACCTTCTGGTTGACCACCACTCTGGTCTCTGCTCCTGTGAGCTCAGCTGTTTTAGGTTCCACACCTAAGTGAGATCATGTGATACTTGTCTTTCTGGGCCAGGTTTATTCCACTTAACACGATGCCTTCCAGGTTCATCCACGTTGTCACAAATGACAATTTCCTTCTTTTCTAAGGCTGATTAGTATTCTATTGTGCACATATACCACATTTTCTTTATCCATTCATCTGTTGATGGATATTTAGGATGATTACCCTATCTGGGCTGTTGTGAGTAGTGCTGCTGTGAACAAGGGAGTATGGCTACCAACATACTGGTTTCAAATCCTTTGTATACATAGAAATGGAATTGCTGGCTCATGTGGTAATTCTATTTTTAGTTTTTTGAGAAATCTTTATACATTTTTCCACAACGGCTGTACTACTTTACATTCTCACCAAAAGTGTGGAAGGGTCCTCTCTTCTCCACATGCTCAGCAACACCTACCATCTTTTGATTATAGCCATTCTGACAGGTGTCAGATGATGGCTCGCTGTGGTTTTAATACACGTTTCCCTAATGATTAGTAATATTGAGCATTTTTTATATACCTGTTGGCCATTTGCATGTTAGCTTTTGAGAGATGTCTATTTAAGACCTTTGCTTATTTTTTAATTGTGTTAGTTGTTTTCTTCCTATTGAGTTGCCTGAATTTCTTATTTATTTATTCATTCATTTATCTGAGACAGAGTCTCACTTTGTCACTCTTGGTAGAATACTGTGGCATCACTGCTCACAGTAACCTCAAACTCTTGGGCTTAAGTGATTCTCTAGCCTCAGTCTCCCAAGTATCCGGGATTACCGGCGCCAGCCACAATGTCCAGCTATTTTTAGAGACAAGGTCTCACTCTGGCTCAGGCTGGTATGAAACTCACGAACTCAAGCAATCCACCACGTTGGCCTCCCAGAGTGCTAGGATTACAGGCATGATCCACTGCACCCAGTCCTTTTTTTTTTTTTTGAGACTGAGTCTCACTCCATCACCCTAGGCTGGAGTGTAGCTGCATCATCATAGCTCACAGCAACCTTAAACTCTTGGGCTCAAACAATCCTTCTGCCTCAGCGTCCCATGTAGCTGGGACTTTACAGCTGCACGACACCATGCAGGGCTAATTTTTCTACTTTGGGTAGAGATGGGGTCTTACTCTTGGTCAGGCTGGTGTTGAACTCCTGCCCTGAAGTGATCCTTCCGACTTGGCCTCCCAAAATGTTAGGATTATAGGCATGAGCCACCCTGCCCTGCTGGCTCTTCACTAATAATTGTCTCCTTTGCTCTGCAGCTTTATAGCTTGTTATAATCCCATTCATCTGTTTTTGTTTCTGTTATTTATTTTGTTACTTATTTTATTACTTTGTAAATCCCACAAATTCTTTTTGTTCTTATTACTGTATACTTTATTGTTATCACCAACTGGAACTTCTTTCCTCTTCATATTTTCTCTGCTTTCCCCCTATTTTCTGACTATTGATAGTATATGGAAAAGCTAGTGTATTGGTTTTCTTTAACTTCTATTTTGTAAAGGAGCCATCTCATTTAATGCTTGTTATTTCTAATGGCTTTTCAGTTCATGCTTAAATTTTTCTAGGTAGATAATGAGATCATTCATTCGTTAATCCTTTCACTCAACAAATATTTATTGAGTCCCTAGAATAATGCTTAGCATTGCTTAGGCTCCAGGAATATAACAATGATTGGGACCTGCTCTGTGGACACTTCCAGCCCAGGAATGGAGGAGGTCCAAAGGTTGCAGTTAGTGATACTACGAAGAACAAAACTAAGGCAGGGTAAGGGAGCAGATGCCAGAGTAGAATGCTACTTTACTGGGGTGATCAGGGAAGATCTTTGCAATGAGGTGGGATGGGATGTATTGAATGCTTGCCACAATTGGCCAATGGTCCTTGGGTTCATGAATGGCCTTGATAGTTTATTTATAGCCTTCCTATCCAAAAGCTAAATATAAAAACTTAAGCTCGTAGTTTCTCTCTTTGAGGAACTTAAACTTTGCTGTTTCATGGCTTAAAGCATTGCTGTCAACAGAAAGAAAAAAAGTCTAGGGCAGTGCCTGTGGCTCAGTGGCTAGTGCACTGACCCCATATTCCACGGGTGGCGGGTTTGAACCCTGCCTAGCCAAACTGCAACAAAAAAATAGCCAAGTGTTGTGGTGGGTGCCTATAGTTCCAGCTACTCATGAGGCTGAGGCAAGAGTCTCACCTATGCCCAGGAGTTGGAGGTTGTTGTGAGCTGTGATGCCATATCACTCTACTGAGGGCCATAAAGTGAAACTCTGTCTCTTTAAAAAAAAAAAAAAAAGTCTAATGACAACCTGATTTTATTTCCTTTGTAACTGACGTGGTCTTTTTGCCTAGATAGCCTAATATTTGCCTGTTGTTCCCCTCCCTCCTTTTTCTCATTCCCTTAGAATGAGTTAGTTTTATTGGAATTTGTCTTGGTGTTGGTAGTTCTAGTCAATTTTCTAAGGCAGTGGTTCTCAACCTTCCTAATGCTGTGACCCTTTAATATAGTTCCTCATGTTGTGGTTTTGTATGCTACTTCATATGAAAATAATTTTATGGTTGGGGGTCACCACAACATGAGGAACTGTATTAAAGGGTTGCAGCATTAGGAAGGTTGAGAACCACTGTTCTAAGGTTTACAATGCCCTCTGAAATCTTTTCTAAGTCTTTTTATTTCAAGAAAATGTTCTTTTTTTTGAAACAGAGTCTCAAGCTGTCACCCTGGATAGAGTGCCATGGCGTCACAGCTCACAGCAACCTCTAACTCTTGGGCTCAAGTGATCCTCGTGCCTCCATTTTTCTATTTTTTTTTTTTTTTTTTTTTTTTAGTAAAGACAGGGGTCTTGCTTTTTGCTCAGGCTGGTCTCAAACCTGTGAGTTCAAGCAATCCACCAGCCTCAGCCTTCCAGAGTGCTGAGATTACAGGAGTGAGCCACCCAGCCCAGCCGCTATTTCAAGAAAATGTTCTTAAAGTATAGATTTTAGTTTGTTCTTTTCTACCCATTAGTGTTCTTTTAGGGATTTCAGATAAGGGATACTGTATTAGGTTGACAGTTTTCATCTGTTTTGTGGGCCTATAAGTGGTTTTCTTAGATATTTAGGGTATGGGTGAATGAATCATGGCAGTTTTTCCCACCTCATGATATTGGAACTCCTGTTCTGTTCTTTTTACAAAAATTCAAAGGAGGGCCTGAGCTTGAAGGCCTTTTACTTTACTTTACTTCCTCTTCCCTTTCACCTGGGCCTTCTCAGTGTGAGTTCTACTCATTGAGCTTTTTCCTTGGTACTGGAGTTTTCCTGGAAGGAGCTTTGGTTTGTGAATTGTGAGACTTCCCAGAGCCCAACTGCCTCCCTCCTTCAGACCTTACTCTACCCCGTATTCCACCCCTCCCTATGCCAGGGGCTCTTCTCAGTTTGCTGCCATGATATAATAAATAAATAAATAAATAAAATAAATATAAGGAGTCTGTGCAGGGAATTTTGGGTTCTTGTGTTCTCAGGTCTAGGAGACACCCTAACTACTTCTCTCCTTCACGTCTGTTACTTTCTCTTGCATTCTTTTTACATTCTCATGCCATGCCGGTTTTGTAGTTAGTGATTTCTCCCTATCTTCTCAAATGCTGGCTTTAGGGGATACCTTATCTATCACAAAATATGGTTGAATATGCACCCATATACAATTTATGGTTTCTTGGTTTTGCTATTCCAATTGTGCTCCTTCATGCGGGGATCTAGAGAGATGGAAACAACTATACAAATCCCATGTCCATTTTCCCAGAATCTCTACTCCGAGTGATTTCACATCTACACTCTTACCCAGTTGAGAACAGTGGTCATTAAGTTTTCATATCTTGGTATGCTAATTGTTATATGAATTGAATGGCTTTTTATTATATAATTCTTATGGCTTTCTTGAAATTTTGAAAACACTTGATCATAAAAGTTAAATTTGGGAGTTAAGTTTTGGCCATTTTCTCCTCCATGATTATTCAGATTTTCTTGGCTGATTTTGTTATTAATATCTTCTTAGAAAATCATTTCAAAATGTGGCCTCAGGAGTAGTTCAAGACCAGCCTGAGCAAAAGCAAGACCCTGTCTCTACTAAAAATACAAAAACTAGCTGGGCACAATGGTGGGCATCTGCAGTCCCAGCTATTCAGTAGGCTGAGGCAAAAGGATCAGCTTGAGCCCAGGAATTTGAGCTTTCAGTTAGTGAGGCTGATGCCACAGCACTTTAGACTGGGCAACAGAGTGAGACTTGGTCTTGAAAAAAGAGAAAGGAGGATGGTCAACACTATCAGAAGATTCAGAGGGCTGGGCATGTAGTGCCTAAGAGGCCCAGCTGTCCTAGAACAGACTCAGCCTTGAAAGAGAACCCCGTCAGGACAGGGGAAAGAATCAGAAGCAGTTGTATGAGCTTTATTATGTAAAAAAAAGATGGTTGTTAATTCTTATAGATTTTATATAATTTATAAGCAATAGTTTATAAATATTAAAGTTTTACAGATAAAATACTTACCATTTTGAGATGAAAAAAAGGTTAGCCCTTTTATTCCAGATTTAAAACTCAATTTGCAAACTCTTTCTTCATTTTGAGACTTCCTGGTCTTGAGTTTTACATTAAAAAAATCATAAAGCAAAATATTACTTCTGGATTATTATGGACTACAACTATTTTTTTAACATTGTAAATAATTAGAAAATTATTAATGAGGACATTCTCTTTGAACTAATTTGACTATTTTTAATGTGAATAATATAAGGAAATTAATAACAGAGTTATTGTACCTACTTAAAGGCTCCCCCTCAAAACCCCAAAGACTTAAATAATTTCCCTTGTGTCTATTGGGAAAGCATTTATTGTATAGAATTAACTGTACTTAAATTCACATATTAATTAATAGCTTCATTATCACCAACTTTTAACCAAACATGTCCAAAATCAGCCCCTTCATTTCTCCCCCAAACCTTGTCCTCTGTCCCAGTCATCTCATCGTAATAAATAGCAACTCTGTTTTTCTAGTTGTCAAGCCAAAAATCTTGCGTCCTTTTTCCCTTTCAAGCCCCACCCCCTTTAGAACACCTTAGACCAGAGCCCACTTTAGTGTAAACCACCATCACCTCCAACTGGGATGGTTCCAAGAGTTTCTTCAATGGTTTGTCAACAGTGACATCATGGAGAGCCTTCTGACTGCCTCTGCTCATAGAGCTTCCTGTCCTGCCTCTCCTCTGCCAGATGCCCTTCCAGCACTTAGACTTCATAAGTGTGAGGCATAGCTTGTGGTGACAGGTGCAAATGCTTGAGTCAAACTATCTGGGTACAAACCCCTAGCTCCACTACTTACTGGTTATGTGAGAGAGTAAACAGACCTAAAGGTTGTTTGGGAGCATTCATGAGCTAATACCTAGGAATTGCTTGGCACCTGAAAACATCCTGTAAGTGTTAGCTATTACTATCATTTACTTGCTGTCATCTCCCCCTCTTCACAGAAACATATAGTCCTTAATATAGTGGGCTTTTGGTTCCCTGCTAGGTCCCTAGCATACAGAGGAGTGTTTTTCATATAATTGGCACTTGGTAATGGGCAACACTACAACTGTTACATGGTTAGTTGTAAATACAAACCTCTGATTTCCTTATTTTGTTAATATCAGGCAAACCTCCCAACTTGCTGGAAGATGACTTGGCACTGTTACAGTGAAGAGTATCAGATTCGTGGCTTGTAACTGCACTTGAAGTCCGGGTCTGGATGCCCTGAGCAGAGACAAACATAGCAGAAGATTTCTGGTTTCCATGGAGATATATACACATGCATGTACACATATACATACACACACACAGGATTTTAATGAGGCATAATTGATTTACAATAAACTACATATTAGTATGCTATTTGATGAGTTCTGACATGTCTACATGTGTGAGACCCTCATCTTGGTCATAATAGTGAATCTATCATCTCCATTTCCTCTTGGTAATCCATCCCCTTCCCCTATTGCTAGGCAAATGCTGATTTGCTGTCCATCACTACAGATTACTTTGTGCTTTCTAGAATTTTATATAAATGGAATCACATGATACATTATGTACCCTTTTTTGCCTGAATTCTTTGATAGTTATTTTGAGATTCATCCATGTTGCTGCATGTACTGTGTTTCCCTGAAAATAAGACCTACCCAAAAAATAAGCCCTAGCAGGATTTCTATGCATTTGTTAAATATAAGACCTAGTGATGGGCGTGGCTATGTATGCATTTTGGAGCATGGTAAGGAAGACTGGAATACCTTTTATCTGCCACAGCTCTTTTCTCCAAGCCGTTCGCACTTGTGCGGGTGCGTGTGTGGTAACCGTGGTCACAGGCATCATATTGTGCATGTGCAAACGGCTGAGGAAAGGAGTTCATGCATCACTAGCGCCAACCCCATCAACAAGGTCGGCTCCCCGTCAGGTTCCAGAAGAAGATGACTTAACTGTATTTGAATAAATGTAGATTGTTGTATTATACTTAATAAAAATAAGACATCTCCTAAAAATAAGCCCTAGTGTGTCTTCTTGAGAAAAAATAAATATAAGGCAGTGTCTTATTTTCAGGGAAACACGGTAGCATGAGTTACTGTCTGGTGGGGTCATACTCCATCACATGAATAGAATATGATCTTATCTTGGAGGACTACCTGAGATTTTGACTAGTGGACTTGTTCTTTTTCTTTTTTAAACAGAATCTCATTCTGTCACCCTGGGTAGAGTGCCCAGGATTCATCATAGTTCACAGCAACCTCGAACTCCTGAGCTCAAGTAATCCTCATGCCTCGGCCTCTTAATTAGCTGTGACTATAGGTGCCCACCACAATGCCTGGCTGCTTTTTCTATTTTTAGTAGAGACAGGCTCTCACTCTGGCTCTGAGTAGTCTTGAACTCCTGAGCTCAAGCAATCCCCTCGCCTTAGACTCCAAGAGTGCTAGGATTACAGGCATGGGTCACCATGACTGGCCTGACCACTGGACTTGTTTTATGACCCAGGATATGATCTATCTTGTTAAATGTTTCATATACACTGGAAAACAATGTGGATTCTGTTGCTGTTGTCACTTATATCAAGTTGCTTAATTGTATTATTCAAGTTTTTCTATGCTTACTAATTTTCTGTCTACTTGCTCTATTAGTTAAGAGTAGGGACTGGGTACAGTGGCTCACACCTGTAATCCTAGCACTCTGGGAGGCCAAAGTGGGTGGATAGCTCAAGCTCACAGGCTCAAGACCAGCCTGAGCAAAAAATGAGACCCCAACTCTACTAAAAATAGAAAAATTGATGTAAGAGGATTGCTTGAGCCCAAGAGTTGGAGGTTGCTGTGAGCTATGCCACCACAGCACTGCACTGGGGGCAACAGCTTGAGACTCTGTCTCAAAGAAAAAAAAAGAGTAGGGTTGACTATCATTGTAAATTGGCCTGTTTCTCTCTCTGTTTTATCAGTTTTTGTATGTATTTTGAAGCCCTGTTATAATATACATACCTATTTCAGATTCTTAAGTCCTTTACTTCCCTAACCTCTTTGTCACTGTGAAGTGACACCCTGTCCTTGGTAATACCCTTTACTGTTGAGGGTATTAATGCCTGATATTGACCCTAGCTTTCACTGAATAGTGTTTTATCTGTACTATTACTTTTCACCTCTTCATGTCTTTATACTTAAAATGGATTTATTGTATCCCCAAATAACAGATGATGGCATGGGTGCAGAGAGAAAGGAACACTTCCACACTGTTGTGGGACTGCAAACTAGTACAACCACTATGGAAAGTAATGTGGAGATACCACAAAGAACTAAAAGTGATCCCACTACTAGGTATTTACCCAAAGGAAAAAAAGACATTTTTTCAAAAAGACACTTGCACTTGAATATTTATAGCAGCACAATTTATGATCTCAAAGAATCATAAAGAAGTGAAAATAACTCAAGTGCCCATCAATACGTAAGTGGATTAATAAAATGTGGTATATGTATGCTGTGGAGTACTACTCAGCCATTAAAAATGGTGATCTAGGTGGCGCCCATAGCTCAGTCAGCAGGGCACCAACCACATATACCTAGGGTGGTGGGTTCAAACCTGGCCCAGGTCTGCTAAGCAACAATGACCACTGCAACAAAAAAATATCTGGGCATTGTGGCAGGTGCCTGTGGTTCCAGCTACTTGGGAGGCTGAGGCAGGAGAGTCACTTGAGCCCAGGAGTTTCAGGTTGCCTTGAACTGAGATGCCATGGCACTCTACCCAGGGTGACAGCTTGAGACTTTGTCTCAAAAAAAAAAAAAAAAGGTGACCTAGTATCTTTGTGTTAACCTGTATGAAACTGAAAACCATTCTTCTAAGTGAAGTATCCAAAGAATGGAAAAACAAACCCCACATGTACTCAACACTAAACTGGAACTAGTCAATCAACCCTCACGTGCACATATGGAAGTAAAACTTAGTAAGAATCAAGTGGGGAGGGGGGAGAAAGGGTTGGGTTAATTCACACCTAGATGGTAAAATGCACACATTCTGGGTGAAGAGCACACTTTTTAAAATAACTTTGGCTTAAAATGTACAAAAGCAAATTATATAACCGAAAACATGTGTATCCCTGTAATATTCTGAAATTTTTTAAAGATGAGTCTATTGTAGGTTACGTTTGATTTTTAATCAGTCTGACAATCTATGCCTTATAATTCCACTTTATCACCTTCATTGACTTATTAACCATATTGTTTTTAATCATACTTTACTGGTATTTTAATGATTTATAGTACACTTTTTTTTTAAGAGACGAGTCTTACAGGTGGCACCTGTGGCTCAGTGGGTAGGGCGCAGGCCCTGTATACCGAGGGTAGTGGGTTCAAACCTGGCCCCGGCTAAACTGCAACAAAAAAATAGCTGGGTATTGTGGCAGGTTCCTGTAGTCTCAGCTACTCAGGAGGTTGAGGCAAGAGAATCGCCTAAGCCCAGGCGTTGGAGGTTGCTGTGAGCTGTGTGACACTGGGCACTCTACCTACCAAGGGTGACAAAGTGAGACTCTGTCTCTAAAAAAAAAAAGAGAGAGAGAGAGAGATGAGTCTTACTCTGTCACTCAAACTGGAATGCAGTGGTGCCATCACAGCTCACTGCAGTCTCAAACTCCTGGGATCAAGCGATACTACCACTTCCCAAGTAGCTGGGACTACAGGAGCCTGTGCTACTACTCCCAGCATTTATATAATACTTCTTTAATTTAGTATAGTCTTCTTTCAGGTGGCAGGTAGTATTATATCACATTGCATATAGTGTAAGGACCTTAAAACACTATACTCCCATTTCTCCTCTCTCAGCCTTTGCACTATTGTTGTCATACTATCTTGTATGTTATAAACCTCACAAACACTGTTATGTTATCACTAGATTTCCATATGCTAATATTTTCCTTTTACCTGAAGGACTTCTTTTAACATTTGAGTGGCTGGTCTCCTGATAATGAATTTTTCACCATTTGTATGTCTGAAAAGTCTTTATTTCCCTTCACTTTTTTTATTCTCTAATTTTTTATTATGGTAAAATATACATGATAGAAATTGCCATCGTAACCATTTTTAAGTGCATACTGTTGTCCAATCATCACCACCATATATTTCCAGAACTCTTTTCATCTTGCAGTTTCATCTTGAAACTCTACTTATCAAACAATAACTCCCCATTTCCAGTTCCCCTCAGCAACTATCATTCCACATTTTCTGTTTCTATGAGGTTGACTACACTAGGTACCTGATATAAGTAGAATCATACAATATTTGCCCTTTTGTGACTGGCTTATTTCACTTAGCATATGGTCTTAGATTCATTCATCTTGCAGGACGTGTCGTATTTCATTCCTTTTTAAGGCTGAATAATATTCCATTGCAGGAGTAAACCACATTTTGCCTGTCCACTCATCTATGGACATTTATATTGGTTCCCCATTTTAGACATTGTGGATAATGCTGCTATGAATCTGGGTATACAAATATCCCTTTAAGACCAGTTTTCAATTCCACTGGGTATAGACCCCCCAAATCAATGACCTTTTTCACAATGGCTGTACCATTTTACCTTTCCACTAATAATTCACAAGGGTAACAGATTCTCCACTTCCTCACTGATACTTACTCTCTATTTTTTTTGAGAGTAGTCAACCTAATGGGTGTGAAGTGGTAACTCATTGTGGTTTTCATTTATATTTTCCTAATGATTAGTGATAATAACCATCTTGTTATTGTTATGTGCTTATTGGCCACTCATATACCTTCTTTGGAGAAATGCCTATTCAAGTGCCCACTTTTATCTGGTTTTAAAAAATTGTCTTATGAGTTCTCTCTATATTGTCTTTTAATCCCTTATGAGATAAATGAGTTGCAAATATTCTCTCCCTTTCCATAGGTTGAGAATGTTCTTTGATGCACAGAAGTTTTGGGTTTTCATGAAGTCAGATTTGTCTAATTTTTTTTTGTGAGTGCCTTCAGTGTCATATCCAAGAAGTAATAGACTAGATATAGTACATATATGGGGCACTCTACTCAACAACACCAGAAAACATTCTTCTCAATCATATATAAGACATTCTCCAATATAATAGACCATATATTTATGCATTTCTTTTAAGAGTTTTATGGTTTTGGCTGTTAATATTTAGGTTTTGATCCACTTTAAGTTAATTTTTATATATAGTATTAGGTAAAGGTCCAACTTTATTTTTGTACATGTGCGGATAT